GCAAATTATATTTAGTTAGAAATTCATAAAAATAGTTCTTCTTATACATAAGATTTAAAAATTAAAGATTCTAAAAATCGTGAAATTTTTTTAAATGTAAGCTCTGGACTATTACAGTAGTTAATATATTATTATGAAGTAAAGTTTCATTCATACACTACTGGCAACGTTATTTTTGAATCATTACAATATAGCTACTTTGACAGTTTCTTGTACCCATGATTCATGAATGATATTTATAAATTACTACAAAGTAACTAAAACTGTTATTCTTCGTTTGAATATTTAATTTCGTCCAAATTTGAAATTGAAATATCTAAAGAAAACTGTGTTTATGTATATTTTTAGATTTTTAGGATACAATATGAACTCTTGTTTTAAATTTTCATTCATATAAAAATATAATATTTTGTACATTTTTAACTATGTATAAAATAATTTGCAAAATTTTCATTTTGACGAATTTTGAAGAAATTCAAACTTCAGAAGCTCATAAAATATTATTGCGGATTGACTCTCAACTTGTTTTTTAATTTTCACTAACTTATGGGGAACCTTGTATTACATTTCAAACTTTTAAATCGAGCAAACATTTTTTATTAACAATAATTAAAAAAAACTGATACAAATCGAAATTACCTTATGTTTAAAATAGTTCAAGATATTTCGAAAATGTTATAGCTAATAGATAATGCTAATATAAACATTTGTTAAAAATTGCATGTAGATAATAAACTGTTATTTTTTTGAAGTTACAGCAATGCAAAAAAATTGATTTAAAAAAAATTGGTGTTGCATAAAAATCCCGTTTTTATTAATTTGTTTGTTATGTCTTATAACCGACCCTTTTGAATACTACTAACTGCTAATTTTTCCCTTTTGACCCCCCAAAGTACCAACTAGATTTACTTTCTTAACCAAAAAATATGCCGGAGTAGAATATATAGATGAATTTTTAGTGCTCCAAAAGGTAATACATACTCGTACATAAATAATAAAAAAAATTCATATTGTAAAATCTTTGTATTCATCGATCAGCTTAGTTTTAAAAAATAGCGATGGGGGGACTCGTGTTTAGGGCCCACACTCGTTTACGAGCATTTCCAAATAATAATATAAGTGACAGGTATATTATAATATCCGATTGTTCTTATAAAAGTCATCGTTGACAAATAATATACGCTATCGTATTATCGTGTGACCACTTGGCACTTACTCTTGTTTACTCGTACACGGCTCTAGCATTATCATAATATTCTCTCTTATTTCTCAGAATAGATCATACGGGATTTCGCCGAGGTTGACTATTTTCATAAGTCTGCCACTCGGCGGTACCTATTCATAAACTGAAATTTCTCATTTCATCGTGTGTCCGAACCCGGAGTTTAAATTGCCCGCCGTTCTTATCTTGGTCAAAGTTCGCAGCCGCGCGTCGGGCGCGGACTATTCGTGGAGTGGATTAATAATTCTCTCTCCGCCACCACTGGACGTCGGCTAATCTTCCGGCTCGCCGCTGCGGCGTTCCCGCTGTTGTTCTTTGCCGCCGGCCGACGTAGTGCGACGCCATCGCCGCCGCGGCGACTTGGCAAGTGCCGTTAATGTTTCCGTTCGGTCGTTTCGCGAGTGTGCCGCGGTGAACGCCGCCACTCCGTCTAGCCGTTGTACAATTTGTCGGTTGACGTCTCCGCCGTTGGTCGCGCCGAGTTTGTGGCTGTCGTGCCGCAGACTTATCGCGTGAACGCCGCCACTTTTCCGAGACGTAACACACACGATCTGCCGGTTGACTTTTCGTCCGTCGCCCTTCGTTGCTGTTGTGCCACCGTCCAGGTACCAAAACCATCCGTCATCGTTACCGGGTCGTGACATTTCCGTGGTTTCGGCAACATCTTTTGCGTTACGCGCAGTGTCGTGCCGCGTTGGAGGTAACCGTGCGCCATCGACGTTGGAGGTTACCGGTGCGCCGTCGTTATTGGATATTACCGACGTCAGTTGTGGTTGCCTGCTGCTCCGTGAGCGTTTGTTTATTTATCTGTATTATCGTTTTATCACATATTGCATATCGTTTTTGTTGATATTATTATTTATTTATTATTTTGGGGCGTCTTATATCTATACCTAGTTGTGTGGTTGTATTTTGTTATTATTTATAATACATCTGTGTACTGTGCATTGCGTAGTACCTAAAATTTATTTATTGGTTTTTTTTAATAATCTACCTTATCGTCGTCGAGCATGACGCAAGCATACTGCGAGACATGATAGCGAACTGCGAAATTTGCAAGAGCCGTCTCGGCAGTTGGCGATTACATTGTGTTTTCGTCTGTATCAGAAATATTTGAAAAGTGCATGACATGTCTCATCATCTTTTAATGTAGATACATTATATCTGACTTGGGATTTGAGAAAAAATTAGTAGGGTGTCTCAAGTTGTACAAGTACAACTGTCACAAGTCACACACAATGATGACGATCAATATAAGTGATTAAAGGTGTTATTATAAAGGCATTATTTGTTTAATAGCCTTAAAATAATCAGGACAAATTATTTTATAAGGATATTATTTAGAATTAAAAATGTTTAAAAAATGAACTGATTTAAATACATTTTTTTATTCAGACTTTAAAAAAATTAAAATTTTGAAATTATAATAACTTGTTTTAGAATTTAAATGTAAAATAAAATTATGTGGTGCTCTAAATAATATTCCATGGTATAAATTCGAAAGATAGAAAATTCTTCTAATATTAAAAGTAAATGAGTAAAATATTATTATTCTGAACATAAAATGTACTGTTGTGCGTTATCAAGACTGAGACATTAAATGTTGGTATGATGTTCTCTTGATAGGTTATGAATAGACAATTTAAACCACATCGATTAAGATAACAAAATATAAAATAAATCTATCAAATGGTAACTATTTAAAAATTGTTTACTTACTGAGTACTTCCTTGATTACGACTTATATAGTTAATAACCCTTTTACATATATAAAAGAACAGGCCTTTTTTATGTACCAATTTTGTGACGACGCTATTTAACTTTTTTCCAATTTTTTTTCACAAAGTTGTTCCAAATACCTTCTTGAGTGTCAGCACTTCGCACGATTTTCAAAATTTAGATTTTAAAGGGTTGAAATCGATCAAAATAAATTGTTTACGTGCAAATTGTTTATCTATATATATATTTTACAGTTTGACGACCTGTGGGTTTCCATAGCGACATGCAACCATAACTTTTTGTTCTTCTAACTTTGTGTTTGATCGGCATGTAAATATAAATTGTTCCAAGAAGTAAAATTCCTGACCCAATACAAGATCCAATTTTACACGAAATGGTTAGAAAAAATATGATACATAGTTCATGTGGTACTTTAATGGAAACAGCAAATGCATGTCTAATGGGAAATGCACAAAAAAATTTCCAAAACATTTTATCACTACAACTATAACTGGAGAAGGTGGTTAAGAACTTATGACTAAAGCCATATTAAAATTAAGCAACTACGTATCATTTGTAAATATTCATAAAAAAAGTTATATATAATTATAGAAACATTTTTTAATAACAATATGTGTATAGAATCATTAGAATCATTAGTACCTATCATTTTTAACTACTATTATTATTATTTTTGTTGTATTTATAATTCTTTAAAACCCAACAATTTGTGTTGATTTAAGAATTTAATTTTGATAAAACAAAAACTACACACGGGCAAAGCCGGGTAATTCAGCTAGTAAATTATAAAATAATATCATATAATAGGCTTAAAGCACATTATGTTTTGTTTAAAAAAATAAAAAATCTACATTTTTAAGTATAATATTTGTATTACCTTAAAGATAACAAAAAGTAAGGGGTTAGAGATTTTAGGTTGTGTGCCTATTAGCTTACTTATAAAAATATTCATGACCATACAACATTTGAGTACTTAAGCCATCCATGTAAGACAACTCACTGCCTATCAGTTTGAATGTACTATGTATGTATGTATGACATGATTAACGATAATAGAATATCCAAGGCTGGGCATCAACGAGTTACAAAGTTAAAGCTAAGTTACTTTAACCAAGTCAATTAACGAGTTACTTTTTTTTGAGAAGTAACTTATAACTTAATGAATTACTTTTGTTCCCATATTACTTAGTAACTCATAAGTTAATTAATTTTATTTTCATGTTAAGTTAAATTTTTTCCTAAACCAGGGGCTTAAAATTCATTCAATTTGGAAAAATTAATTTTATAAAATAAAATCCGAAATATTAAATATGTCAATTAGAAAATAATAATTTATAATAATAATCTTATAATTTGTTTTATGTGGCCCTGTTAGTAGAATGCGCCAAATAATCAAAATAATAAATAAATCAATCCAAGATAGGAATCAAAGTCCCCTTTCAATATTATTAAAATATCTAGTCTAGTACTTAAATTATTCAGAATATTTTCAAAAATTATAAAAAATGTTAACAGATTAGGTAATAGATATAAGTTAGGTATAATGATTTTCAAATTATCTTTGCTCTTATTTTGTTATCCTATACCCACGTAACTATGGCTATCTTTTATTACAATTATTAGGAAATTTATTGTTTGAATTCTTATTTATCAACAATACAACATTCATCAACTCTAAAAAAAAAATCATCTGCTTCTATTCCTACTTGAAAAAATTGATTTGTACCGACACAATACGTTCCTTAAATGGAATAAATCATTCTAGCAGTCATAATGTGTTGAAATGCATAACTTAAGGGAAAATGGGGGCGATCATCATGCTTAGTGAATTACTGTATATTATTCTAACATTATATAAATGTTTTTAAAATCTTAGTAACTTAAAATCATTAAAATAGTATTTATAATTTACCGTTGAATAAGAATCAAGGATCATTTGTCTAACAGAATGTTACATAAGTATATTAGAACACAATAAATATTTAAATGTCAGTAACTATAATGATATGAAACAATAAAACAATTATAATTGGTTTGTCAAAACGAAAAAAAATCAATGTTACTAACATAAATTAAGAAAAATATTATAGTATTACATACATTTATAAAGACATTTGATTATCGAAATGCTTATTCATCCATTCACGAATTGATGAGTCAGCATACATCATTTCATAAATATGATTAACATGATAGCACAGAGATTCAATATTCTTATCCCAGGTTAGTATGGTATTGGCTTCAATTTGAGCTAAATACAAAAAATATTAATGAATAATAGAACATGAAATACTTGTGATACAAAAGCTTCACATACATTTAAAGTGAATAAAACCGTCAATCTGGTCAATTGAACCTTTCATGCGTTCTTCAGAAATCATTTTTGCTGCTATTCTTTCGGCTTTATACTGGTCAACTTTCAATAAACTCGCAAGTGACTTAATTTTTATATTTTTATATATTTTGCTGATCGATAACATGTTATGCTCAATTATAGCATCAGTCAATAAAGATGTATCTGTGAAATATTTAAGCATCTAACATATATTCAAAAATTGAATGTATACTACTGTAAATATTACTATATTTTGTTTTGGCCTTCTGATGTGGTAAAAGCATTGATTCTATTTGGTCAACTTCGTTTGGCTTAATAATACGACATAGGTACAATTTTTCAAGAATTGAAAATCTCATCAAGGTTTTACATCTTTCGTCTTTATACAACGTTGTCAACATCCGGAATCGTGGGGGACCTAAGAATAAGTACATGTATTGAATAAAAGACAGTACATCAACCATATTTTTCATATATCTTACCAGCAGGGGATAATATTGTACATACAATAGCGCTTTTTAATGCTGTTGTGCGTTCACTTTCATTAATATCTAGGCTGAGCGAACATTCATTATATTTATGTGCAGCCTCATTAAACCTGTGATGATAATCTAATACACGTGCATGTGTAAATTTGAAAGAAGTCATTTGAGTTTCATTTGTTATCATACTCTGGAAAAATAAAAACAATTACTATTTTGAAAGTATTATTGAATTTAACAACTGTAAATATATGGTCTACATAAAAAGTTACGTTCCACTAATGTAAGTATACAACAAATTTTACATTAAATTTAGTGATATAGCTAGATAGTTCAAACCTCTTGGCCATTTTTTTATGGATGCCATTAAGTTTGTTTTAATTATTTGATTGTATTGCATAATATTGTGTCGAGTTCATAAAATAATAAAAATCATTAGTAACTTTAGATTGCATGTACATAATTAGCTACAAGGCATGATTTTTTCATTTCTCTTGAGAATGAAATCAAAATATTATAATTTTTAATTAAAAAAATAATAATTAGGCTATTAATTTACTAGTATACAGTGGCAGAATAAAATCAGTTATACTATTTTGTGCATACCCACATCCAGAGACAGTTGTTAGAGGTTAAATAATTATATTAAAATTAATACAAACTGTGATACTATAAAAATATTGTAAAAAATAAAAATGTTTGACAAGTAACGACCCACCACCACTATAGATAAATGAAGCAACAACTTCAAAATTGATCATATCAGCGTGCCAATTCAACCTATATTCTATATTTCTATATTTTTGTTTTAAATAAAACAGTGATAGACCACATATTGTATAGGGATGCAAAATTTATTTGAATAAATCTTACTTTCAACATTGAAGCTCTATTAATATATGACTGCGCTTGCAATGCATCGTTATCTTCTAAGTACATACGTGCTATTCTAATGCATATTTCAAATCTGTGTTCAATTGTATGCATTCTAAAAGGTATATACAAATTAATACAAATTGCAATAATTAATAAACTAATTAAAGTTAAACAAAACTTAATAAACATAAGATACTTTTGTTCTGAATCGGTGGTACTTGCGATTAGCACAAGGACTGCATCTTTCCAATTTTTATCAGTCTCAAAAATGGTAGCTAAATGCATACGTATGTTGCACATTTGAGTTTCAAAACTGTCTGTCCTAGGATCCATCTTAACAGTAATTGAACAAAATAATAATTTTTACAAAAACTAAACACAAGGTAAAAAAAAAAGGTTTTACTTTATCCAGTATGAAGAGAGCCAGCTGTTTGGATTGTTCTTTTATCATATTAGGTAAGACTTCTGTGCTAAAATCATTAAATATCTGGCGAGAAATCCCCAAACTTACATTTTTATCAACAGCTGAAATCAATGACAGGCCAGCAGTTAGTTTGCACGACGAGACTAGTAAAGAGAAATATAACAATAGGTAGGTAGGTTTATTAATACTTACAGATTTCGATCATTACTTTCAACATCTCAATCACATCAGAACTGACTGGATTGTCTGAAAGCGACATGATGTCTTTCAACACAATCTGAAACCTGCAACAACCCATGTGAGATAGGAAATCAATTGACGAACGACAATATTATTATGGATATAATATTGTAGACAGAATTTTAAACGGTACGTATCTAGAGAGGATTTGACCGAATTTAAACTAGCAATCTGGTCAAAACGTCAAGGATGGTACCCAACTTAAGTGGTAAATATATTGGCTATAAATTAATCATTGACATCACTCACGCCTCTAATTGATCGTTGGTATTCATATGCGAACTGTCGATGATGTGCCTTAGCCGTTGATGAACTTGAGCGACTGTAAGAGACATGTTTTTCAGATAACTGAGAGGACGCGAGAAAGAATCCACAAAAAAATACGGAATTTTTTTTTATTTAAAGTTTTCTTGACATAGTCATCTAACTTATTGATTACAGTTTTTTGTTTTTAAAAAATACGGAATCAAAATCGGAAACGAATAGTACAATATATGTTGTTAATTACGTGCACTGACGACGGGCCTTGGACTAAAAACCACGAGCGTTCAACAGTATGATTGCCTTATATGATATTATTTATTACGCATCTTAATATTTCGTCTTATCAATAATGATTATTGGGGGCTGGATGTGGGGATCGCAGCTGCAGTAGTATAGTTGGTGGTCTGTCGATCATCGATGGGCTGCGCTTGTGGGCTGGGCGTGGGAGTGCGGGACAACAACCGGTGGTTTGTGAGACATCGCTTACAATATCAGCTGTTTGTGGACGTGTGACCAGGCACGCTACAAATCTGAATTTTTGTGTTGAGTTAGGTCAGGCACTGTCTCTATATTGTTGCTCGTCTAGCGGCGCGAGTGTTTTTCGTAAATATTTCGCGTGTAGACGAATAATAATAATAATAATAATAATAATAATAATATCACAATATTATTTACCATTTAAAAACTGGTACGTAGAACGCCATCTATGCGTGGTTTATTACTCGACCGGGTCGAACCTTGAAAGTTGAAATATCACGGCAGATGTCGACAGAATGACAGAATATAAAACAATAATATTTCGTGTGTTCCTAAATAAATTCGTTACCAATCCAGCGGATTGATGGAGAGTTTACTGTTTAGGAATACTAGCGGTGGGGCCGAAGTAGTTAAAATATACTGTGACATCAAGGACATCCTCCAATCTCCATTATTCTTCCCTTTTTTTTTTAATCGAACAATTAGTTGCAAATCAAAGCACACTGCACGCAATACAATGTATAATCATTTGTTTTTAGTTTTTAGCTGAAAAAATATTAATTATACATATCTTATGATTAATTATGATTCGAAACGCAACGATGAATGTATTGATTTTACAATGATGTTTTAAAATATTTGTGTCTGTTTACACAAAAAATAGTAGAAAATACTTTGATTATATACTCTGAGATTGGTTTCTGATAGAAAATAGGTTGTAGATAGGTAGAGGATATAACCTTAGTTTATATTAATGAGAACTTAAAAATGAAAACTTGGATGTTGAGAGAATACAAAAACTCTGCGATTTTATCATTTTCAATTTTGAACATATACAAAAAATATGGTTTCTAAGAGTTAAAAAATAACATAATTTCATAGTCAATAATAGCCAAATTTTATTTTTACTTATTTAATAATAATAATATAAGTAATACAAATAATAAAGTTAAAGCATCCATACTTGCTGATTTGAAATTGATAATAATTACAAATTAAATTGATATACCTACCTTGATATCTGCTTTCAAGTTGGCTTGAATAAAATAGTAGAGATTTCGTATTCTTACTATTTGAATATTGGTAGAATGTTTTTATTTTTAAAATTCTAGTTTTTTCGATAAGATTCTGAACAAAGCTGGGCTCGCCTCACAGCTTATAGTTCATTTAAGTTTGATATCCGTATAATTAGTGTAATAATAATTGAAAATAATAAACAAAAACAACATTTTGGCAACTTGGCATAAAATATTCTACGCTCAATCGTGTTGCTAAAAAGGTATATGCACGATAGTTTTGTTCTCAATTGTGCTTTATTGGTCTTAGGTAGTAATTAGGACAGGTAAGTAGGTGCCTACCTAACAGTCTTATTTTTGTTTTATTACATTTTAACATATTGAGATCAGACGACAATTTCAAGTAACATACTAAGTAAAATAAATTATAGTTTATTGCATAAAATGGTACTTAGTGACGATTTTGGTAGCACAGTCTTGTAAAAAAAACAATATGATACGTAATAAAAAAAAAATTTGCGATTAATTACTCGGATAATTTTCAATTCTATCTTAATTATTTTTCTTATTTGCATTTCAGAAAGCTCCAGCTAAAATTTGTAATGACTTTGGTATGAAAGTCCATCAATCATAATTTGCTGCAGCGACATTTTAAACTTCAAATGATTTTCTCTGCAGGTATCTATATTTTATAAATTATTATATACAATCTTCAATCATACTGATATACATTTTCATAATTATTGTTACAATTAAGAAATCAATACAATTTGTGGCTAATGTGGCCATGTGGCTTATACATGGTACTGATTTTGTAACATGAATATATTTCAGTATTACAGGCATTAATCATCATATGTATTTTTTTGAATGTGTGATGTTTATGGCCCTCCCCAAAATCAAACCCTAGAGTCGCCACTGTCATAAACTCAGCTTTGGTGTACTAAACAATATAATAATTATAATATTTAAGCCAACAATTAAATATTTGATTTATAAATTATAAATAATGATAATCAGTAGACAATGGCTATGGTAAATGTTAAGAATGTTTAAGGTCATCACTTTCTGAGATACGATGTGTAGTACACGAGTACTTCATATTTATATCTAGACAATAAATATCTAATAGCAAATAGTATATAGTATATGGGTACCTCTTACAGCCGTGCCTATAAAATTCAATTTAGGTATCTTATAGCTCAGTAAACACCTTTTTACTGGTTTCATCATCACTAGGCAAGTCATTCGGAAGTACATGGTCTTGTATTCCCGAGCATAATATTACAAGCGGGGAATCGTTATCATGTTCGGATGATGTGGATGGTTGCTGTTTACATTCTCCGTTGTATCCATTCAGATGCTGGCCCGAAGAAATTACTGCAAACGATGATGTTGGTTGTTCCATGTTGCTTGTCTGGAATCGGATTTAAAGTTTCAACCAAAATATAAAATAGAATAAAATAATGTACTAACCATTGTTGGCTTTACAATTTTGAACATCTCTGAACGGATTTCATTCATCGCCTCGTCGTATTCACTCAAGTAAACGAAGCATCCATTCTCATGTTCTCTAACTGAAGTCAATACAGTCGATCCTATTGAGGTACCCTTTCTTGACTTATCAAAAAATAACATATGAAAATTATTATAACTACACGAGAATGTGGACAAAAATGATTTTTAAATATTAATAGACTTAGATGTACTCTAGTAATTATTAAATAAGAATGATACTCACTACTGAGTTTATATTTTCATAGTCGTGGAAGTGAAACGTATTGAAATGTTCTGTGGTGCCAATGTTATCTCTATTATCCGAATAATACTTATTCGGCTCACAAGAATTACATTCGATAACGTTGGTTGTATAACTGCGGCAGGTGGTGAACTATAAATCAGGATTAGAATATTTTCCGATTGGTTTACGTATATAAATATACATTATTATATATCATATAGTAGAAGGTTTCTTCTATTGCCGTGTTTGAAATTTAACTTATTAAACCAGCGTTTTTCATAGTGGTAAAGCTCATAGATAGTGTGCTAAAAGAATCTCATTTTATAAAAAGAATGAGATGGGTCATTATTAACGTTAAATATATTTGGTTTATTTGATATTAGGTAATAATAATATAAATAATAATTGAACATATTTCATTTTATTTTTGACTTTTAAATGTTTATGTTATCATAATTTTGTAGTTTCTCAAATTCAGTAAATGTAAAATAAACTATACCTACACTTTTAATAAGCAAAGAAATGACTATTTGGTCAAATGCTACATGAAAATGTTCAAAATTTATAGGTTGAGAACCGCTGTATTAAATCAATAAAATATATTTATGAATCGACCTGTACAATTTAATACTTTAGTTTTTATATTAATATAACGAAATTTAAGGGTATATTTATGTATTAAACAGGCAGTGCAGAATTTGTGACATGAATATACACTCACATTTGAACTTGAATTATTTATCTCTCCATGGTTTTTGGTCTGGTAATAGTCACACACACTATCCTGCCGGCTAATTGGAGTAATTGTAGTCGATAACTCTGACCTCGCCTAATTACAATTTAAAGTTTCAAAGTTCAAAAAAAAAATATAGTTGGTAATTATTCTAACACGATGGAATATGGACAGATATCATATTTTAAATATTCATGGGTTAGGTTTTTTACAAACCATTATTAAGAGTGTTTTTAAATTTTTATCATATAAATATAAGTACTACAGTGTGTCATTTAAAATATTGGGACAAAACAAATATTTAACTTGTGATATGCTATATAGGTAGTAGGTACACTTACATTTGAACGAGACTTATTTATCTCCTCGTTGTCATTGGTCTGGTAATAGTCATAGCCAATATCCTGTTGTCTAAACGATGCGATTGCAGTCGATGACTCTGAGATAATCTAATAAAAAATGAAATTTAAAAAAAAAATGTATATAATTAATAATTATAACAACACTAAAGAATGTGGATAAATATAATACTTTCAATATTCAAATAGTTATACACATTTGTTTTTGAATAAGAATAATACGCACGGTGTTTATTTCATCATCGCTGTATTGAAACATATTGGTATGTTCGGTGGTGCTAAAGTTATCTGCAGTCCGTAATCCATTATCCGAATTATATTTATTGGGATCACCACAATCACATATACCGTTGATCGTATAACTGCAAGTGTTTTTTAACTATAAAAGTATAAACACGTTTGGGAAAATTCTGGTTAGTTAAAGTATATAAATATTTATAAATCATATACTTTAAAGTTTCTTCCATTATCATGTTTGAAATCTAACTTATTAAGCTAATAAAATATATTTATGAATCGAATTATATGTACGATTAAATACTTAAGTTTTCTTATTTATAATCAGTGCTTAAATGTCTGCAAGTAACTGGCCTATTTCATATGATAGTAGTATACTTTAAGTTATAAAAAAACCACTTCAAAGAGGGGGGGGGATGTCTAACTTGTTTTATATTTTAAATTATTCATTTTTTTTAACTAAAGCGAACCTACCACACACTTGCTATTTGTTACCTGTTATCTTCAATTTTTTTCTATATTTTATGGTATTTTTTAAAAATTGTTCAGTCATTATTATGCCATTAATTAACATACTTTATTATATTTATTATGTAAATTATACAATTAAACCATAAATTTACAAATTATTTTTATTGGATTAAAGAAATTAAAACAAAAGTTATCAAAAATTAGAATTTGTGAAAGGAAATATCGTATAACCCTAAAACTATCGTACCTATTTACTACAGTTTT